ACACACACACACACACACACACACACACACACACACACACACATACACACACACACAAACACACACACACACAAACACACGGTTGCTCGTACATGTATTATATGTTTGTTTGTTTTTTCTCCTTTTTATCTCTTTTTCTTTGTTTTTTTTTATTTGCTTTTTTGTGATTGGAATCAGGATGTTCATTTCTCTTGGTGATTGAACTTAAACATAAAATACCTAGAGCACGGTCCTCATATTTAGATTCTGGTATGGTAAAACAGCACGAGTCCGGGTAAGATAGCCAACCGTACGCATCCTGTTGTTTCGCCTGCCACTGTCTGTCTGTCTCATTTCTCATCCGTCTGTCCACACACTCCTGTTGTTATTGTGTGTTTGTGTCTGTCTTGATGTTGATCTTTTTAAGATGTCCTGCTGCCGCTGGATAAAATAATAAATGCAAAAATCATACATATACGTATGTTGACCAACCGAGGAGGCGTACACATTGCGTTCAAAAATTTCACTTTTAAAGATTCATTTGTACCATAGCCACCCCACCCCCGCCCCTTCCACACATACCCTTTAAAAATATGTTTTGATTCATACAACTGGCCTAGGTTCAATGTGTATAACTTAAGCTTCACTGTAAAGCTGTTAGCATTTTAAAATCTCTTCAGATAGGCCTACGACACTCCTTCTTTCACGGTTTCTTGGATCCGCTTTCTCTTCCGTTAACCAATGCTGATTTCGCGGACCGGATTTTGTCGTGATAAGTCCTTCTTCCTCACCGAAGCGGATTTAGGATTAGAATAGCGAATACATGTATGCCCTCTTGCAAGTTGCAAGTCACCTTCCTCTTACATTAGAAATCTTACAGTGTGTAGCAACAGCAACTTTGGTCTTTTCAAATTTTGGCGATTTGGTTGGTTGATTGGTTGGTTTGTTAGTTTGTTGGTTGGTTGGATGGTTGTTGTTGTTGTTGTTGTTGTTGTTGTTGTTGTTGTTGTTGTTGTTGTTGT